TGAATGAAAAAACTAAAATGAATAAATAAATAAATAAACAAAACAGATAAAAAAGTACACAGATTTTATGTGACTGGAATTATCAAATGTTGATTGTGGCCATATAAATTTGTAAAGCTACTTGGAAATGGTTTTATACTACCTACTGAAACATACTCTGAATTATCAATTCCACCTCAAGGTGGGAAGAAATAAATACATAACCCATTCATTTGACTCTTTCTCTTGCGGACTGTGTCAGAGTTACCTTCTTCTTTCACTTCTACCTTATTTCTGCCTCCAAAGAAACTACCCCGTACCCTCATACTACCATTGATCCACCATTAGACTTTTTAAATCTGAACTCTTGAGCTGGTCATTCTTTCCCGCTTTTCTTTACAGCACTTTTTTTCTCTCTACCGGTACCTATTCTACCAATACTTTTTCATTAATACTCACTAGTACATACTCAGCATCTATCATCTCACATCCTGACCCATCCCTGTTCTGCCTTTTCCATGAATCACTTTGAGATCCCCTCCACCCAGATATCAATAGTCCAGAGTAAGATCAGGCTAGGGTGTTATATATGCAGGTTTTTAGAAGTCATCTACATAACAATAAGCTTATTAAAATTGGAATGTATTTTATCTGAGGTTAAAAAAGAAAATCTATAGACTGCACTGTTAAACTGAAGTGTCTAAAATTCATTAATCGCAATAATTTGGAAAAATAAATTCTATAAAAAGGAGAATAAAGAAAAGAACATAATACATAAAAGTGACAAATTTGAAGACACACCAAGTGTATATATCAAAGAGTGTCATATATTGGTGCTTTCAAAAGATAAATTAATTTGAAATAAATGTGGTTAATGCGAGATGTAGTAATCATTTATTAATTATATATAATGGTAATATACACATACATGTAAAAATGCATCTCATATAATTATGAGTATTCATTGCAAAAAATTAACTCTACAGTATTTTTTTTTAAATTTTGCTGACAACACTATAAATATCTACATCTAGGTTTATTTATTACCAAATTTTCAGGATACATTTTGTACTTTATAAAGTTTACAACTGACCAACAGACCTTTTTTTTCAATTTTTTAAAGGAGTAATATTTATTTTCAGTTAGAACATAATGTCATCATTTATCTTTAATTTTTAATTATTTTTAAATTATATATGACAGCAGAATGCATTACAATTCTTATTACACATATAGAGCACAATTTTTCATTTCTCTGGTTTTATACAAATTATATTTACATGAATTCACCTCTTTATTCATGTACTTTATATAATAATATATATCATATTCCACCATCATTTCTAACCCCATGATCCCTTCCCTCACCTCCCAACCCCCAAAATGTCATTTTTATACACACTGATGTATGCTATGAAGTTATAGAAAAGAGTATATGCTTTATAATAATATGAACCTATAAAGTTTTGTAACTAATACATATAATAATAATAATGATAATAATAATAATAATAATAGTAACCTTGCCATTTAGACATTAATAAATTATACATCTGGCACTACTGACATCTTTTCCAAAAAAACAAAAAAAAAAATGACTTCTTTTCCAAAAAAAAAGGAAGGGCTATTTGTGGGGAAAATGATATTCTATGCTTTCTTAAAATCAAGAATAAATTATTTTCAGAAGTGATATATATTTCAATATAAAGTTAAAATAGAACCAGGTTCCATGGCACACATTTCTAATCCCATTGGATTGTGAGGCTAAGGCAAGATAATCCTGAGTTTAAAGCCAGCCTCATAAACTTAGCAAGGCCCTAAGCAACTATATGTGGCCCAATCTCTGTGTGCCCCTGATTTAAAATTTCAGTAAGAAGCAATAACAACAAAAAGAATACAAAGTATTGATGAGGACACAAAATAAATTCTCATGAACTAAAGATGGAGTAGAAATTGCGGTTATTTCATCATGAAAACTGTTTATATATAGATGAAATACTCGTCACCAAGCAGCTTAGACCTGTAGAAATTATAATATGTGTGTACAATGACAGTGTACAGTTATGTGATAGCATAAATTTAGAGCTATACTTGTGAATACAGTGGAAATCTGAAGCCTAGGAAGAAAGAGGAGGTGATTAAGAAAAATAAAAATAATAAAGTTTGAGAAAGATTAGTTTCTAGAGCCCAGAAAGATTTTTGGTTTAATTAGAGAACAAAATACCACATAAGTATAATACTGAAGTTATATCTGTTAAATACATCACATGTATAATGGCTCTCAAGAAAAATATGTGGAAGTTATTACAAACTAAATAAAAATTTACAAAGGCACATAAAATACCATGTACATAAATAAAATTAATCATTACAAAGATAACTATTTTAACCCAATTTAATATACAATATTTTCCTATCAAAATTATAGCATGTTTTTCTTTAAATACAAGA